CACCACCACCACCACCACCACCACCACCACCACCACCACCACCACCACCACCACCACCACCTCTTTCCGCATCAACGTTCCCCGTACTGCGACTATGTACAGGCATTCCTTAAGACCACGCACCTTGTAACCTCCCTCTCCTCCTCCATCACCAGGGCTCGCTCCTCTTCGACCTCGTGCCGGACGTGCGCGAGAGGATGCTGAGAGGCGCCCCGCGACAGCCGACTGACCTCCAGCGCAGCCGAAGTCGGGCGGCCTTCTTCCGCGTGCTCCTGCCGCTGCAACGCTTCCACTTCGCGCCCGCCCTTCCCGCTCCGATTCTCCGCGTGGCACCCGCCAACTGCTCTGTCGCCGCCGGTAGGTGCCGCAGTTGTCGTCACACGCTCCACCTGTCGTCTTTCCCTGTGTGGCATTTTCTCAAGCCGTCATTTTTGCCGATTTTTTTAGGTAACGTTGGCCTCATCATCTTCTCCCTGCCCTGGAATCATCAGGTGTACCACTATCGATTCAAGTAAGCTCTCTTCTAAATTGCACATTTCATTGTCGCGGATGGAGACGTCGGTGTTTTATGTTCCCTCCTTGAATTTTCCAAGTGTGGATAGATTAGCACTACGTTTTCAAAATAAGTAGTTATAGTGTATTTATTTCACAGCCCGATGGAGTCGAAATCCTTCGTTTTACAAACGACCAGCTCCCCGCCTCTAATTGGTGAAAATTTTACCAGCCCCTTTGTGGATATAATCATTGACCCGCGTTGTGACAACAGACAAGTCTCCTTCTCATACTCCTTCCCTCAATGGCTGTTCCAGGTATCTTTAATTCGATTCACCTCAGTTCAGACATATCTAATGAATGAAGGCAAAATAATTATCGTTTTTTGACTAAGCTTCTGGTGCTACTACTGTTACCTTCATTAGTAATATAATAAATGTCTTATGTGCGTGCCCCTGCATCGAGTAACCTGTGTGTACCTACTTAATAGTCACTGTTTATGGACTGATTGAATAGCGGCTGTCCGAGTGGGCCAGCTTGGCTTTTTCCCAACTAGTCGCGGCCACCTCTTAGAGCAGTGCACGGTGGCGCCGTTTGCCTCGTTGTGGTCCCCAGCACGTGGTCATGAACCACGCCGTGACCACTGAATTAACCCTGGCCCGATTACGCTTCCCTGATACCCGCGATGAAGAAAAAGACCACCGGAGAGGACGCGGACAGAAGCGTTTACTTTAGAGGTCAACCACGTTGGTGTGGTTGTGCCGTGTGTGGCGTTTACGTGTGTGTATTTATACCTCGGGTGTGTGAGTCGTACATGCGTTAACATCGAGACCTAGGCGTGAGGATAATCCAAGATAAATAGTCGTGCGAATGAGGGGGGGGGAGTTGAGGATCCGCGCGGCTGGAGACATGCTGCGACAAGGGGAACCATGTGTTGGAGGATGGGGCGACCGAATTAAGGGGTGTGAATAAACACGATTCACAACACCTTGCCGCACATCTCGCAACGTCTAGGTGTGTTGTGAAGGAATCTCGTCCCGTGGGTTGGGTCGTGTGTGCGCGTGAATGGGACTACCGAGGCGCCGCCGAAGTTGCTGCAGAGCGGCCTCGTGGTTAACGCGCAGTCGATGCCTGAAGTTCATGTGGTAGCCGAGGTATCGGTTTATTTCTGCTGCCGCTGCCGCAAGGCGGTGGATTCCCTCCTTCGCAGTCACCTCCTGTGATGGACGTGAAGGCCTGGAAGTGTCCTTCTGGTCGCATTGCACTCTACTCCTTGGATCTAAGAAAGTACACGTGATTCACGTATAGGCGTTTGCAACGGGACAAAGAGCCAGCCAATGAGGCCGTGCACAAGTAGAAGCGGCTATCCAACGCCCTGCTTACATTCCACCATCCCCCCTGCCCAACACTTCCATTGGTGTGTCAATGCCGAACGTCGTGCCCAATCGCTTTCGCAACACACCGCACCCCTTGTGAAGGCCCTACTGAAGATGGGACCTAGCACACTGGGATTCGAAAACTTGTGGAAGGAAAAAAAGGACTAGCCAGCTTACCCGGCGGTTCGAAGCGCAGCCAGCCAGCTCCTGCGTCCTCGCGCCCGACGTCTTCGGGCCACGGTGTTGTCGGGTCAGCGTGCCTCCTCATGCCAGGGCTCGGCCGGGCCTCACTACTTGTCCACTTCACACCTGGTCACTCTCCGTTGTCGTTGTCATGGCGACTTGGCTTGGTGTTTGTGATTTGTTGCCACATGTGCGAACGCAGCGTTGCCATGGTCAACCCACACGCACACAATTAACACCAGCGGTGTTTCTATCATCGACAAAATCTGGCCGCAAAAAGAGTGATTTTTCTCGGGCTTCAAATCTTCTGCATGGTCTCGCGATCACAGAGCAAGTGGTAAAGTGGAGTTAGAGGTAATCGAAGCCACGTCCGAAAGCAGACGACGCATCGCCTTACTTGTGGAGCGACACTTCATTAGGTATTTTCGACCTGATCAATTTACCGTCTTAGAATGTGAACTTCGAACACTGCCAGTTCAAGGAAATGGCTGTGCTGCATAGACGAGGAAAAAGTGTTCTCTTTTAGCCAACTCATTCTACCTTCCAGTTATGCTATTTCGTTTAAATGGGGATTTCTTTGTTTAAGGGGGCTAAAGTCTACTGGGAAGTCGACGTCAATTCGAAAAGCAACCGCTCCTGTCGCCTTTCGTATCGGCGAGAGAGCTTCCATGTAAAATTACACGCCTCCTTGCTAACGTGGGTGGTGCGTTCATGCAGAATAGGTCTTTTTCGGTGCAATTGCCTCTCAAGCAGCCCTTCAACAACGAAGGTGGCAAGACGGCGTGGACGCGGTCGTTGATGCATCAGTGTGGGTGTGGTTACGATGCACTTGAGAACGCAGAGGATCAGCTGTGTGTATGTGTGTGAAAATGTAGCGATTTACTTAATTCATTGGGCAAACTGGGACATGACTAAACCTAACTGCCACGTCCCAGGAGTGTCTGCATTCGCGTAAAGCCGAAGAGCCGTTTTCTGTCTCTCACTGTTCCCCTCCCCTTGCCCCCCGTCCGCATCTAACCCACCATGCGCTGTGTGTGTGTAGGTGTTTCGTGTGCACGTCTTCCACTGTGCGTCACTGGTGGCCGGCCACCTCCTCCTCTCCGTCCACGTCCTTCTCGTCTCGCGCGGCGTGCGCGTCCGCTGGGTCAGGAGCGCGTCGTCGTCGCCGGCGGTGGTGAAGCGACGACGCAACAGCCCCACGCAGTCGCCACCACCACCCGTCGCAGCCAACGGCCACGCCCCCCCACACCGTGCCCGTCCCAACAACGGTGAGCCAGCGTGACTTCTTATCCTCTCTCTCTACCTCCCTCCTCCATTCGCTTAATGCTGATGTCTATAATCTTGTCGGCTTTCGGTTTGCCGGGTGCATTATCCGAATTTGCCTGTCCGTGCTTGTCCGCACAACTCTCGTCCAGGCTTCATTCAAAAGGCACCTCTGTGACATCACGGTGTCGGCACGGGATACGTGCACATCATGACCTTCATGGAGGCTGAATCGTCCGATTAAAGCGGGTCTGGTTTATGTGGCTCTGCAGCAGCACACCTACTGTGGACGCCTTTTTCAGCTCTAGAACTGTCACGCCTTTGCCCAGCACTTTGGCGCAAATCCTCTAGAGTAGTAGTTGGCACGTCGAGGGTTTCCAGAACGTGTGCGGAGGGCCTTGTACACCTGATCCCAAGCATTGGCCACAAGATGGCGTCTGTGGATGTTGAGATGTGCCGACTTACATGTCTTTAGGCCATCCGTCGCCGACAAGTTTGAGTGACTTTTACCCTGCGCGATGAGTTGTTGGCGCAAACAACGATGTGGCGTGGCAGTGGCGCTGCAATTAGCGTGAACAGGGCTGAGTGAATCGACGTCACAAATCACAGTGTGGACGTAGATGTCTACTAAGGAGTGTTGACATGCCCAACGAGGACCTCGTGGAGGTCTTTTACTGACAACGAGACCTTAATTTCCCCACGACGCCGCGAACACTAAGAGTGGGGTAGCTTCACCTGTTCAGTGTTCGCCCAAATAAGTGTATGATGCTCAACAGACGAAAATGCAGCAAAATTCCACAGGCATACTTCCAACACGGCCGATCCCTGTCGTGTGTGTGTGTGTGTGTATGTGAATTAGCCTTCATTTCCGGTGATTATTGATTGACCTCCCTTTGCGCTGTCCATTTTCTCAGGTCGCCCTCCCACGGAGCGTCCGTGTAGTCCCTCGGGGCGCCGCCTGGCCGCCGAGTGGGCCCACCTGAAGTATCTCGTCGGCACCGTCGGCTGCCACTGTCTCGTCGCCCTCAGCCTCTGTTTGCTGCACTCCCTGAGATTGTCGTACGTGGACGTTTGTTTTTGGTTACGCCAATACACGCACACACACGCTCCATCGCATGTTTAGGAACTTGTGCTTCCTACTGTTA